AATCTCTTCTGCGGTGTGGCTGTTGCTACCGCGGTGTTTGTGCAGCCCAGGAGCTGCTCACCTGGGGACAGGACCGCCGCCTTCCAGGTTAAAATTAAAAGGAAACCCCAGCCAGGTGCCACAACTGCTGCTGTCCTGGCATTGCCCAGCCTTCCCAGGCTTGGCATCCCAGCATCCAGTGGGCCAAACTGGGCAGCCCCATCCAGCTGGAAGGTGGGCCCGGAACAGCACTACCTGGGAGGAGATGGGGACCCCCTGGATGCTCCCTGCTCACAGCCTGGCTCCCCAGAGTGGGTCAGCCTGCAGGGAAGGAAAGAGAAGGGGGAGGGGGGGGGAAAGAGATAAGGAAGAAAAAAAGAAAGCCTTTTTCCTCCCCAGAGTGGGTCAGCCTGCAGGGAAGGAAAAAGAAGGGGGAAGAGATAAGGAAGAAAAAAAGAAAGCCTTTTTTCCCCTTTCTTTTGGAAATGAAAGAATATACAAGCAAGCTGTGTTTTCTCAAGGACATTCTTCAGTGTTGCTCTTGTTGCTGGTCTAGAGCCGCTGGCATCTGCGTGTGCCATCCTGGTCCCTCCAAGCTGTGGCAGGTTTTACCTTTCATTTCGTGCCGTGGGTTTTTACCTTTCATTTCGTGCCGTGCGCGCGGTTGCTGCATGGGATCTCCCTCCCCTCTAGCAATGCCGGAAAGGTCGGTGTCCTGGCACGGCCGGGCTGGCGAGTGATCCCTTTCCCCTGTGCCAGGGTGTGACCCCCCTGGCGACCAGGGGTGCCAGCTTTGTCCCGTACCCACCGCTCTGCCCCTGCTCCTCGCCCGGCGGCCAGCGTCAGCCTCATCCAGGGGGCCGGGGTGGCAGGTTCACCTTCACGCTCGGGTTTAAGGCTCTGTTTAGAGAGAGTCTGGGGAAAAAGCAAGAGGTAAAGACGGGCCATTAGAGGGCACTTTTGCAATCCTGGAGAAGGAAAACGGTGCTTATTATTTCACTTAGGACTGTTTATTTTGGCGCTCTCTTAAATTCAGTGATAAACAGCAGGCAAATCCCTCCAGTCA